CGACGGGTACACGGTGTGTTTTTGGGGGGGTGTCAGTGTACGACGGGTACACGGTGTGTTTTTGGGGGGGTGTCAGTGTACGACGGGTACACGGTGTGTTTTTGGGGGGGTCGCTGCCATTCCCGAGTTCTGCAGTGCCCTCGTGTGGCCCCTCTCGGCGCCGCACCCGCGTCCCGAGCCTCTGATTTCTGGGGTTTTGTTAAAAAACCCACATCAGACAGTCCAAACCTACCCCCCAACCCCCCCCCCTCAACCCGGGTATTCCCGGGAATTTCCCCTTCCCGTGGCGGGAGCTGAAGTGAAACCCCGGTGTTGCTGCAGGAGCAGCAGATCTCGCCTTTTCCACCCCAAAAATGGGAATTGTGAGGTTTTTTTTCCCCCCTGATGCCCCACTCTGGCATTAATAGAAGTGGTGAAGCGCTCGGGGGGCGAGGCTGGAGGGGCCAGTGTGACTTTAGATCCCTGAGGGAGCCACTTGCCCGAACATCAGGTTGAATAAAAAGGCTGAGAACCCGTCTCAAAAATGCTGAAAATCATCAACTTCCACGTCTGTGCAGCTCAAACCCCCCGAATTCCCGCAGAGGAGTGGAAATTTCTCTTGTGCCGGGGTTGAAAGCTTTACATTTTTCTTTTCAATACCATTAGAAGCAATTAGTGCTGCCTTGCCCGACGTCCAGAAATGGCTTTTTGTTGCTTTTAACCGGGTTATTATAAACTTGCTGTCGATGGAATTTTAAAGCTTTATGAAAAGAGCCCAGAAAACATTCAGGACGGGGGGGAGTATGTGACTGGGGAGATGCTGGTGAAGAGGAGAAACCTTCATCCTTCCTGTTGCCAAAAAGCCCAGGGAGTGAGAGGTTAAACCCACAGGTCAGTTCTTTCTCCTCCTTCCTTCTCCTGGCCTGGAGCAGGCTTGACCACTTCAGGAGGAGATGTTTGGAAAACAACATGTTTTCTAAAAAAACCACCTAAACCACACCAATTTCTGCCCCGGGTGGCATTTTTGGAAGGAAATCAGCCTCCCTTAAACCTACAGAGCTCAGGGCCTTTGGTTTATCATTTTTTTTGGGGGGATGGAAATGCACCATAACGTCAGTGCTTCCAAGCCTGGGGTGGGAATGTCTCTGGCATCCTGCAGATAAGTTCCTGGAATGGTTCTTGGGCTGGTCAGAGGGTTTTGACCGGATTTTTTTTTGGTTCACCTCTCTATTAAGGATTATTTGTTTGGGGAGGGAGAGGAGGAGGGGGGGTTTGCTTGCAGGGGGCTGGAAATAGGTGCACAGATTATCCAGGAGAGCTCTGGAGAGAAGGAGCAGCGGTGGCAGTGACACCACCAGGATTTCCAGCTTCCATTTAAAACCAACCTCCAGCCCCAAAGTGGCTCCGTGGGCTCATTTTTGGGATTTCAAAGCTGCAGCAAAACGAGGAATTGCTGCAGAAATCCCAACTTGTGGCTGCAGGTGCTGCTCCTGAGGGGAGTCCTCTGAGCCTGCGGGTTTGTGGGTGCCCATCTGGAGCTCAGAGTTGTTCCTCCTCCAGGCAAAGACGTTGGGAAGTTGGTCTGAGAGGCTGTTTCTGTGCCTGGAGGGTCGGTGCGATCACAGGGGTTTCTCCCCTGCCTGACTCCCCCCTTATCTTCCCCTGCATCCCAGAAAAGCAGCTTTTCTTTATCAAATGTTGAATCAACACGTGGGCAGTGACTGAGGGGAGGAGCAGGGGGTGAGTCCTGGTGGGTGCTGGGCCCTGCATGGGGCAGGCAGCCCGGATTTCCGAGGAGCATCTTCTCTGGTGCCTCCTCAGCCCTTTTTGGGGAAAAAATCCTGACCCAAACCGCATCAGACCCCAAAATATTTCGTTCCCACACTGGAGTGGGTTGCAGTTTCATGGTTTATTTGCAACTGAGGACTGTCAGCCTCAGGATCCAGCGCTGGGTTTAAATCACGAGTTGCTTTCACACCAAACAGCAGGTTTGGGATTCGCTCTTCGGGTGTTTTCGAGCCCGGGTTTGTGGTTTGGAAAGAGGTTTCTGCCCAGCCGTGGGGATGGTTTTTAAGCTGAGATTCTCAAGTAATTCCTTGATGGCAAAGAGCTCGTAAGAAAAACAGAAATGTTATGAAACGTGTGGTGTAAAATCTCAGCAGTTCCGTGGGGCCCCAGCCAGGAGTTATAATTGAAATCGCTTAGAAGTCAGAGAAAAGCCAATAACTTATTAATGCAGCTTTTCTAAAGCAAAAATCCTGCCTCCTTTGCTGTTTGCCAGCAGGGAAAAAGCATAATTAAAGTTTCTTTGTATTGCTTTGTGAGCGCAGGGGATCAGACGGGGGGGGGAGATTTATTTTCCATACCTGGAGGACGGTCTTTTAACCACGAGGGGTGAGTTGGGTTTGGGTTTTTTTTTTTAGCAAGCGCCTTAAAAACCAGCAAATCTGTGTGAAAACAGGAAGCTGGCTTATGATCCAGCCCCAGAGGAATTGCAGTGGGGGGATGCCCTCATCCTGTGGGTTATTCCAGTGGGATCAGGGGGCTGTGGGCACGTGGCCCGGGTGGGGTGGGAGCTGTCACAGGAGCCAGGATGGAGCTTCCTCGGATCTCCCCACGGGAATTATCAGTGTAGAGGTTTCTGCTGGGATGGGGGTCTGGGATAAGTTGTGCCCCCGCCTCCCAAGAGCCTTTTTATTCGTGAGGGTGGAAATCCGGGGAGCAAACGCTTCGTGTCTCTGTTCTCCCCCCCAGCAGAGGGGTCAACGTGCAGGAAATGTAAGTTAACAAAGTGCCAGGGTGGAACTTCAGCCCAGCTTCTCCTCTGCCCCTTTTTTTTCCCAAAGGAAGTGATTCCAGTGTCCTAAACAGGCACCAGAGACTCTTGTCACCCACCACCTGCACGGGGTTTCTCCATAGGAAGGTGGCAGAGGAGAAGCCACTTTTTTGGATCATCCAGTTGGTGCCCCGTGAGTGTTCAGGTGCCCAGAGCCCCTGGCTGTGGCACCAAGGA